AGTTTTGAGCAGTGTAGAGTAGCGCTTGTAGTTTGTCATTTCTCCGATCACAAATGCAGACCTGGTTTTATGTTTACGCAGTGCGATGCAACGCAATGCGTAAAAAGACAGTATAAGTCATTATAATCCGTAATTATGTCCCCACTGGATGCAACAAATGCCTAGTTTATAATGGGTTTTAATGTTTTTGTCTCATCGCTCCGGCCTGACAGGGCATCATCACAATATGGTAGGGGCGTAACATTTCCGTCACACGCTTGAGGTATTCGGCCAATCACAAGGCACTGGATAGCTGGCCAATCAGAGCACACCTCGCTTTTCAGATCGATGAGCTTTGTAAAAATCGACGCGTTTCAGAAGGCGGGGCATAGAGGAGAAACAATAATGTACAGTATGTGGAAAATAATGTGTTTTTGAACCTTAAACCGCATAAACACATTTCATTACACCAAATACACAAAATAATGTTCTTTTTAGCAACATCATATGACCCCTTAAACTGTAATGATAAATGCAAAGTTCTGTCATGAAACTACAGATGGCGCAGGCCGTAGGTTCTAACTCAATCAGATATAATCACATTATTATTCACATGGCGCAGCTGATTGGTTTCTTTCACATCAGCAGCCAATGAGCCTGCTGCTCAACATTTAAATACTCAGCTAGTGCTTGCTGTAGCAGTTGCAGCGCGCTTCAGAAACCCTCCACCTTCCCCAGCTCCACTTGTATAGATCTGTACGGGGTAATTTCATGTGTGTTATATATGGGGGTTGTTTTATATATGTTATATGTACAGCAACAGTATTTCCTACATGCTCACAGCAGCACGTCTGTGGATGTATTGGCAGTAGCAAGTCTCTGTACTCGCTCTGCCGCAGCAGTAGCATAGCAGATCTATTCCGCCAAGACTAAACACATTATCATTGCCATGTATATTCCCATGCTAAACTCTCAGAGAGTTGTCATGACAGAACTATATTAGCATCCACAGCAACATGCAATAACAATCTGTTTAAAACGAGCACTGCAGTTTTGTCATCTGCCTCTTTAAATGCTCGAACTGTTTAAAGCAGGATGAATTCTGATTGGCTGCCAATGTTTTTTTGTTGTTCATCACCTGGAAAGTGACTCCAACGACAAACTTGTTCCTCTGTGTTGTTATCATTATAGTTGTGGACTGTGTTATTTTTATGACTTTAGAATGATTTTTAAAACTATATCTTTTGTCATTATTGTTATAGTTATTGTTTTTGGTGTGAACAGGCCTTTAGCCATAACAGTGGCTTCAGGGATGAATTCACCCAAAAAAATGAAACTGAATTGGAACAAAATGTATAAAAAAATAAAAATTTTGGTGACTATCCCTTTAATATGGACCATTGTGTGATCATTATGATAAAACTCCAAAGGTCAGTAAAACGTAATACTGCCGTTTTCACGAACTCATCCCTGACTTAATTTCTGATGCTTTTTTGCAGTTTTCATTTATGTTGACTGGAACAAAACGTGGTTCTGATACAGTCTTGACTTCAGTTAGCGCTGTAAGCGTCTATGTCGTAGTACGCGGATTGAAGCTGTGCTGTTTTGAGTCATTAAACGGGTCACCAGGTCCAGACTGAGTCCCGCCACCTTCTCACCGTTCACCTCTAATATCTCGTCCCCGACCCCGAGCAGCCCCGCGTAGAGTTTCTCCATATTGCTGTCACCCATTTCTTCAACGTACACCCCTTAAACATAAAGCCAGTTAGTCTTAAACTTTCTGACTATGTCAGAAGTGCATGAAGCGGGAGGTCACTCACCTGAGTCTGGCCTGCCTTTTCCTCGGGAGATGAGAAAGCCGAAGGGGCCGTTGGGGGGTCTGGAGAGCTCCAGCAGGATGGTGCCGTCAGGGAAGGCCTGAGCCACGCGTCCCACCGGACGCACCGCACTGGGCCGCCCCACATCCTCTACACTCAAGGCACGCTGAAGACCCCTAAAAACACACACAGATTTATCTACTTAGAAAGACCAAAAAAGTGCAACAGAACTATTTTAGTGTCAGATTATATGGTGAGTTACTTATTATTTACTAATTATAATATATTATTTTGAAGTATGTTCATTTAAGCAGTTCTATTTTTATTTTTTATTATTTTCTTAGAAATTTGTGAGTGGTTCTTAACAGTGAATGTTTCTACCACTAGGCCAGAGGTGTTGAAAAATCTTTTTAATGTGTTGCTATGCAGTTACTAGGAGGTATTGTGTGGTTACTAGGTGGATATATTTTTAAATTATATTTATATGTAATTCAAATTATATATGTAGAAATATATAATTTGATAAATTAAAATGATATAATAAATGTTACATATATGAAGTATTTTTTTATTAGTAGATAATTATATTTATAATATAATATGTCATTTTAAAATAAAATTATATAAACAGACACACTGGGCCATATACCATGGTAGTATTTGAATACTACATTCATATACCATGGTATTTGAATGGCATGGCACTCCCAGGTACTGCAAAGAAAACCTTAAATTTCCTTATAATTATATTATATTATAAAAGGGCCTTATGATATGATTTTTTTTTTTTTACAAAAAAATAAAATAATATAATATAAAAACAGTTTAATATTTATTATTGTACAGAATTAAATTTTTTCAACTGTGAAATTTTTTCATGGAAGCCGGTCATATAATGATAGTCCCCAGACGTATCGCAGTGTTTGCTCCTTGTATTTCAGCTTGTCTTTTTATCTCCCTTTCTCTGTGTCAGATCCAAGTGAACAGCCAATTATAGCATGTCTCTGTAGCGGCTCTCTGCTTTCTTACTGGCTCTCAAGAAGGATGATGTAAGCTGCAGCTCTTCTCCAGTCACTGGGGCTGGAATTCCTCTCTGGCTATCTCTCCTTCACTCAGACACACATTCACACACACATAAACACGACACGCACTCACAGGCACTATCGAATCACAACACTGGCGACAAACACACTATCTGGCACTGTGAGCAACCCAAACACACATGCTTAAAGGGCAGCATCTAGTAACACACACAAGAGGCTGAATATAGCAGCAGCATGTAGACGAGTGATCATTCCCTGCATTCCATGTCTTTCTTTGGCAGATACACACACCTCTATTTTTATCTTCCCTCCCTCCCTCTCTGTCTGTTTTTATTGCTGCTGCTGCTGACCCAGTCAAAGGAAAATACTTATCTCGTTGCACAACACGACAGCTGTCTGAACATTACAGGAACACGATGCGTGCTCCGCAGAACATGTCATGCTTCAAATTGCCATTGTTCATAACACTAAAAGGTTACAAAGAGGTAAACAGGCAGATTTATTGAGATCAAGTGGTGTGCATGTGTATGAAATAATACTTAAATAATATTACTGTGGTGTTGGCGTTACCATAGTACAGGGATGGTAACAGTAAATAATACTATGATATTTTGATATAGGTCAAAGACGAGATAAGAAAAGCAGACAGTATGACTCTCATAACTGTCATTATTTTGTATTTTTAAAATTATTTTTATTTTATATATATATATATAATTTAACCATTAAAAATGTTGATATTAAAAAAATAATAATAATAATTCTATATATAAATATAAATAAACTATAACTAAAAATATAAATATAAATAAAATACCCTTAAAACATAATCAATATTCAATGTAATATTCATGATTCAAATATTCTATAAGTAAATATAAATAAAACATAACTATAAATATAAATAAAATACCCTTAAAACAATCAATATTCAATGTAATATTCATGACTCAAAAATTTATATTTGTATACATATTTCTAATATTTGTGTTTGACATTTCAAAATGTATATACATAAAAACAAATATATATTTTAAATATATAATTTTACAAATATTTATATTTTAGTCGTGGGAAGTCGTGGCCTAATGGTTAGAGAGTCGGATTTGTAACCCAAAGGTTGTGGGTTTGAGTCTTGTAGGGATTGTAGGTGGGGGGAGTGAATGTACAGCGCTCTCTCCCACCTTCAATACCACGACTGAGGTGCCCTTGAGCAAGGCACCGAACCCCCAACTGCTCCCCGGGCGCCGCATCATAAATGGCTGCCCACTGCTCCGGGTGTGTGTTCACTGCTGTGTGTGTGCACTTTGGATGGGATAAATGCAGAGCACTACTTCCGAGTATGGGTCACCATACTTGGCCTCACGTCACTTTAACCTTTTATAATTGTTTTATATAATCCATAGTCATTTTTTCCTGGGTCAAATAATGTAACCCTGAAAAAAATAAACAATTATGATATTTAAAAAACATTTATGAATATAAATGTCAATACAACAATGCATTTCTTGGCAGCTGTATATGTTATATTATCATGATGTTGCCTGAAAGCATGGTAATATCATTGAACCATTATATTATATTATATTATATTATATTGTTTGGTGTAATTTGAAGTGATGCATCATTTGTAAGTTGTGTAACTACTGTACCTGGTTAATACAGGACTACAGGGCTGTTCTCCTGGAGTGTATGCAGAGGAACGGTCTGTTTTCTTTCTGGGGATTTGGAGGTTTTGAGCCGATGAAGATCTCCTCAGCTGGAGAAACGGAGACCCCTAGTGGTCAGAAATGACAGTCAGCGCCGCTCTCTTGAAATTTGAACAAGTAGCATATTGACACATCCATGTAACTGTATCTTCAAATTATGATAAAATTCTAGATGTTTTTTGAAAGACATCTGAAGGTTGATATTATTTTATAGATGCTAACCAGACGTATAGTCTGCAGTGAGGGGGCTTTCTTCAGCTGGTGGTGGTGTCTGTGTGTGGGGCTGGGGGAGGTGGAGGGTGAGGTCGGCCGAGTGTTTTGGTTTGGGTTTGAGTTGGGTTTGGGGTGCAAGCTGAGCTGATCCATGCTGCTGGATCGTCCTTTTCTCAGCAACCCCACGCTGTTCAGCCCCATGGCAGAGAAGAACCGCCGCAAGGAGAGTTTGGGTCGACCCTCTCGCTGCTCTGCATCCAGCCCTGCTCTGAAAAACAGGGTAAGTCATAAGGTTATTTCAGTGTTTTTTTTGTGTGTGGCTATTTTAATCTCCACATTGACAATATTTCATGGCTTGGGCATGTCATTTGTTTTTATTATAAATAAATATTTTTTACTAATTATTAAAAATACATGTTTTATAATAGTTAATAAATTAATAATAATAGAAAAAACTAATCCTACTGACAAAAAGGTGTTTGTTTGTTTTCCTTTTTGGCTTATTTTATTAGTTTCTTTTTTCTTTCTTTTTTTCTTTCATTAATTTTATTTTATGGTGCAATTTAGATTTTGTGATGTCTGTATAAAAGCGATATATATATATAATATATATATATATATATACACTACAATTTTGATTTTGTATAAATGTTTATGCAATTATGATTCTCAGTCAGTAGGTGGCAGTGTTGTAATAGACAAACATACAGTCATAAGGAAGCCTGGCCCACATTTCCCCTAACCTACTTTGAGCCTCAAGTGCCAAAGCAATCCGTATGATTGTGGCCCCGGAAATTAAATTGTTCAGAGAAAGGATTGAATATTTTAGTAAAGGATCTGGTTTGTTAAAGTCCTAACCAAAAAAGCTGTGGGTATGGACATACCATATTCATTATTTCCACCCTCTCTTTCTTTCCCTCTTTACTCACTGTGAAAAGTTTGGGCTAGTTGCCCTGAGATGCACTGGTTTGATTGGACCTCTGACGTGTCCGTTACTGAGACGAGTCTGGGTTGATTCAGCACTGATGGATGTTGCATCAGATCCCAGCTGTCCTGTACTCTGGTGCTGGTCCACATCTAAGGAAGAATGGAAAGCATGGCTGTGCATATCATAGGACAATGGAAGAAACATCCTATGGAAATTGTTAAATATCATGATGAATCTTGATAATGTGTAAATTGAATATGGTAATCATAACAATATAACTTTAGTGGACCATTTTATGTAACTGAAACGTAAGTGTCAAAATGCTTTTCCAAGCAGCGTCACACAAGATAGAAAATTGTTAAAGGAGATGGAAAAAGACTGGCAGAGAGTTGCTGCTGATCGCACTAGCAACTGGCTCACTGTGGGAGCTGGGATTCTCTGTCCAAGTGGATCCGTGGCATAGGGGTTGAGTGGCAATGCTAGTCCATTCGAGAGACACATTTGAGTTCCATTTTTGCAGTCTGGAGGTGTTGGAACCCTGAGGCCATTGACGTACAAGGGTTCCTGTCTGCTCTCTTGTTTCCGGACCTTCTTCTTTAGCTTCTGGAATGTTCCCCTACTGAGGAGAATTTTAATCTGTCAGTCACACTAATCATTTTTTGAATCCAAGCCAGAATATAGACATACATTTTTTTATTTTATTTTTTAGTTAATTGTTTGTTTGCTTGTTTTATTAAATATTGTTTTATTAATTTCACTTTTAAATATGACCTTTTATTATTTACATATATTTCTTAAAACATTTTAAAATGTTTTTTTTTTCTGTTTTCTCAGTGCATGTCAGGTTTTGTTGTGACGTTTAAAATTGCCCTAATCTGTTCCGGATGCTGCCATGCAATGCACACTGCTTGTCTTCATACCAAACAAGGAGACAGGCGTTTGGGGCGGCTCACCCATCTGTCTTTGTGTGAAAGTGCTGAGGTAGAGAACAGAGTACGGTGGCTGAGAGAGCTCAACGTGCTGCAAATGAAAAAACACATGCAAATAGAAAAAACACCTGCAAATTAAGAAAACATCTTCATCAGCTTGACAATATATGCGCTGCAAATACTCACAACACAACCAAATACAGATATTGGATATTATTAGCCTAAATAAGATGACAAAAATACACAATTACTGTAACTGTGAAACGTATATATGCTGGTTAACTTACTTTTACAACTTCCCTTATGAAAATTAACCATGGTTTTACTATAAAAAATTTAAAAAACATGGTTACTATAGTTGTGTTTTGCGTATTTGCAGCGCGTTTCTGTATTTTGAGTATTTGCAGCACATGTGTTGTCAAACTGATGAAGATGTTTTCTTAATTTTCTGGGTCTTTTTTTATTTGCATGTGTTTTCTTAAGTAGCAGCATGTTGAGTTCTCTCGGCCACCGTAACAGAGCACTGGACGGGGAAGTGGGACTTAGAAGCACCAGCCGTGTGTACACATTGTATAATTCAGGTTGTCTTATATAACAGAAGAGTTTGGAGGAGGACGCCACGCCAGTGTACTTAGTTTAGAAGTTTAAATTCAGACTACCATTAACTTCCAGCTGTTTCACTGCTAGCACTGAATGGGCATCTTTGTTTTCTCTGGTACTAGAGATATCCAACAATACTTGTATATTGGTTTCATACGAATGTCTTTATAATGACATACTTTATGCCATATTAATAGGCCAAACTGAAATTTAAAACAGCACCTGTTGCTTCTGAAAAGAGATTTGCCAAACACTTCCCCCCTTCCCTTTTATCAGCTGCCCGTCTCCAAAGAGAGTAAAAGACTATTCAATCCAGCACCAAATAATACAGTTTAAGATCTACACCCCCCTCACAAATCCTCAAGTGTGAGCAGGCGAAGGTTTCCTTGTTTTGATATGAAGAGAGCCATGTAGACACCCTTCCCTTCCCATGATGTCTAAGCCTCAAAACCCCAAGACCCCCCCCCCCCAGGGATAATATTACTCTAAAACAGGAATATGGCAATATCAAGACATAAAAGTGCTTATGAAATCAATATAAATAAGAATGCATGAGTCATTTTCAGGAACCGCTGTAACTCAGGAATTGCTACTGATATTGTTCAAATAAAACTTAGTCTCATTATGCAATAACTTTAACTCTTTTCAGCCAAGTTTATATCTGTGATGTAAAAGAAAGAAAAAGTAAAATAATAATTAAATACATTTGTTTTTTTTGTTTTTTTCAAATTATTAGTCAAGATTTTAGTCTGTTGTTTATTTTATTTAATTTTTTTAATCCAAGCAAAAATATGGATACACTAGTTATTTACTACTTTTTACTGATATCATTAAAAATAAATGTAACTCTCATTATTTAATAACTTCAACTCTGTTTAGTGTGCAATGTAAATAATAATAATACATTTAAAAATAATGTTTATCTGTCAGTCACTAATTCACTCATTCATTTTTTTTCATCCAAGCAAAAAACATTTTTGTGTATATGTGTTTGTCATTTATTTATTTTTTCATTTTTCAAAGAATTTTTAACACTCATTATTGAATAACTTCAGCTCTGTTTAGTGTATAATGTTATAAAAATAATCATTTTAAAAATAAAACAAAATTCTACATAAATTTAGCTTTTATTAAAGTTCAAATATCATGATTACATTAATATTTTTTCCTATAATGCTGAAAATTTGTTTCAACACTATTATCTTGTGACACTGTTATGTATTAATAATCGTTCTAACATAACCACATGAGCACATTCAAAGTCTTTTGACCACATAGTTTCTTAAGTTTCTCATAATAACAGTGATCTGATTTTTAAATAAATAATGTTCCTGAAATGTTCAGGCACTAATTTCCTGGCAGTGACCCGTTTTTTTTTTTTTTTTTAAGAATTTGTGGCATCTTTATTGGTTTGGAGAAAATAGCTCAGCTATTTCCTTTGTTATACAACTCTTAGGTGGAGTTTAAAGGAGAGGAAGGAAGAGCCAATGATATGATCTCATTCCTTAGCTTATGAAAAGCATCAGCAGCTGTTTTCTCTTGAGCTCACGTTCCACTTTGTGTATGTTTAACATTTAAATATGATTAAGCACTACTTTTGAGAGTCCCTGAAAGCTAAAATAATAAATCTCTAATCAGCACTGTGAGAAGCTAAATATACATGGTGTGTGTGTGTGTGTGTATGTGTGTGTGTGAGATAATTGTGAGAGCATCAATCTGTGCTGCCCACCTTTGGCTGTGTTCACTACCTTGGAGTGAAATCCCAGAATCCCAATCACTGTCATTCAGGCCACAGATACCTGTAGAAACAGAGACACTCAGGGTGTAGATTACAAGGGTTATGACCTCCCTAATTAATAATGACTTAATATTAAATATATATAAAATAAATAAATAAAATATACTAATTGTAATTTTTTTAATGCATTTTCCCTGCTTTGACCACCATGACCAATACTCTACGCCAGGGTTCCTCAAATCTTACCCTGGAGTTCCAATGCGCTGCAGAGTTTAGCTCCAACCCTGATCAAACTCAGCTACCTGTGATTTTCTAATGATCCTGAAGACATTGATTAGCATGCTCAGGTGTGTTTGATTAGGGTTAGAGCTAAACTCTGCAGGAAAGTGGATCTCGTGGGCCAGATTTGAGGATCCCTGCTCTACGCCATCCACAGTTTCACTACTGCAGCATCTACTTCAAGTGGAGTGAACTGTGTTTGCCTGACAGCTAAAAGCCAGTTGTTTATCTCACTTGACAAGACAAGGTCATCATGTTTGTGTCAACATCTGGTGCTTCAAAAGTGAGAAAAAACAAGCGAAAAAGTGAAGCGTCACACCGTCTCCGTTTTCCCATCTGACAGGCTTTATCACTACTACTCTGAGTTGCTTTTAATCAGTGTAATTCTCATTCTTATCCTTCTGTCCCCTCATATCTGGATTATCCAGCTCTCTCGTCTATATGACCTCTGCTTCATTAGGGAGGCCATGTGCGATCATTTTGTGTAATCCTTAAACTTGCTAAAGGAGACAATGTCATCTCATCAGACATGCGCTAACGGCATTTAACACCTGTCTGATAACATTGGATTAGCGCTGCTACGCATTATATTGTACACTATGTTACATCAGATAAGGCAGATTACATCTCAGCTTCCGGAAACAAGATGGACAATTTTGAGCCAAGTTTGAAACGCATATGCCAGGTTCTTAAAAATGTGTTTGTTTTTTTAATATGATTTTTAATATATTATTATATATTCTTTTAATCAATATATTTTTTAATAAAATTATTTTTTTATAGTATTTTCAAAAGAAGATCAGTTTAATTATTCTAAACATGCCACGTGGTGTCACCATCTAGTAACAATTAAAAACATACAAACCTTTATTATTTTTAAAAATGTAAAAATATATTTTTGTATTCATGTTTACATATGATTTTGAAAAACAATTATAGACTATTTTCAAGAGAGGTTTCTACTTAATTACTTTAAAACTGTCATGTGGTGTCAATATACAATAACAATTAATAACATACACATTTTAATCATAATTTTTTGTTGTAAAAATAATAATCGAAAATAATATTAAATAATAAATTAAAATTATATCTTTTCAAGATACTTAAAAAAAAAAATTTATTAACTGATATATCATTAAGTTTTTCGCACCACATGATATTCTACACCCTGGACTAACTGTAAAAATAAAAAGGTCAAATTTAATAGTTTACACAGTAACGAGGCTCTGCAGGGGTCCTCTATGATGTCACTTCCTGTTTTATGCTTTGTTTTTTCTGCATGATTTTGATTTGGCGAGCAAACATTTTTCAATTACCATTACTGAGTAATGAGAGTTAATCGGTTTTGTAAAAATAAAAGAACAAAATGTGATTAATATGATTATGAAAGTAATTAAAAAGTGATTTAGTAAAAGTGTTTAATGATATAAAAATTAATTAATAATAATAATAATAATTACTTATATTTAATTAATACAAGTAATATTTATTACTTATATAATAATTTCATAGTTTTTGTTTTTTTCATAGGCTTTTTATTCATTGTTATATCAGAATACCACCCTAGAATTTTTTATTTTTGAAAAAAGCAAGAGTTCCAAAAAAATAAACGAGTGTCATGTCATTTACCTACTGTAATGGATCTCCTTACCTCTACCGCTAATGTGCGTTGGGTCCTCTATTCTCTGTCCTGGTACATGGTCTTTTTTCTGGGTTTTCTGCAACATCTGTTTGAGAAGGCCGCGGTTCATCTCGACCCTCTCGGCCAGGGACAGCGAGCTTCCACTGCTGCACATGCTCTCCAAGCTGTCAGCCCGCCAGAGTCCACATTGTCCCACCTCACCATGATTGTACCTGCGTAGGTGACTCTCCAGGCTATCAGACCTTTGCAGTTCCCTTGGAAACTTGTGGCCCATTTTGTGGCCAAAGGTTCCTCCATTTGGTCCATCTTTCCCCACAGGAACATTCCCATTTAGAACCGGCATCTCTGGTCTGATGGACCTCCAGAAACACTTCGGTGGCATCCATGGTTTATTAGATGGAGAAGCATCGTCTTGAGAACCGCAAGCATCGTTCGAGAGGTTCTCCAGGCTTGCTCCTTCTCCAAGGCTGCGTGGAACTGCCAGCAAGGCTTCAGAAGAGACGGGATCATAGTCGAATTCTACCTGAGGCTTGTGGTCTCCTGCAAGGAACATCAGGGGCTTGCGAGGTTCCCCGTCTTCATCGCTACTGCTGGAGCCCCAAGCGTCCGTGAGGGCGTATCCCAGTATGAAGGTCCCGGGAACCACTCGTTTGTCCTGGTTCTTACTTCCAGGTTCTTTCCAGACAACTCTGCGTTCAGAGAGAGCCTTGACCTTGGACTGCAGCGCCGATACGCCAGAGCCTTGAGCTTGCTGATTGAAAGGCGAGGACGGGGAGCTGGGCTCCAGGCTGGCGCTGGAAGGACACTCATCCTCTGGCTCACCGAGGTGGATGTCAGTGTTTTGGGAGGTGGCAGGCAGGGGTTCAGCATCTTCAGAGGTCACTGCGTCCTCCATGGTTGAAACGGAGAGTCAGTGGAGCATTGTGGTGGCTGAGGGGACAGAAATAAACAAGTTAGGTCTCATTTACTAATAACTGCGTAGATTATTTGTAATCGAACACACAGGAGAACTTCTCATGAAAAAAATTCCTCCTAATTTACAACACGTGCTTATGCACATTTGTTCTTAACATCATTGTAATTTTAATGAATTTGGAATATTCTAAATAAGCAATTTGCCTAAAACATACCCAAACCCTCTCCACACAACCTTTCCTTTAGCCAACCTTTAAAACGTTTTTGGTGATTCATAGTTTGTTCATGAAAATGCTTGTACGCAGATTTCACGCACAAATTTGTGCGTACGCATGGTTATTAAATGAAACCCAATGTTTACATGATTAAAGTAAATGTTTTGTTTATGAAATTAAAGCCCTACAGTTTTGTCTTTTCTTTTAAACAATATACAGTTACTCAAGAAGTATCAGTACAACACTGGATAAGAAGTGCTTATGCACATTTGTTCTTAACATCATTGTAATTTTAATGAATTTGGAATATTCTAAATAAGCAATTTGCCTAAAACATACCCAAACCCTCTCCACACAACCTTTCCTTTAGCCAACCTTTAAAACGTTTTTGGTGATTCATAGTTTGTTCATGAAAATGCTTGTACGCAGATTTCACGCACAAATTTGTGCGTACGCATGGTTATTAAATGAAACCCAATGTTTACATGATTAAAGTAAATGTTTTGTTTATGAAATTAAAGCCCTACAGTTTTGTCTTTTCTTTTAAACAATATACAGTTACTCAAGAAGTATCAGTACAACACTGGATAAAATATTAAGACTTGTTTTCAGAGAAAGTATATTTAATAATTCAAGTTTTTTTTTCCTTACTGCATATTGATTGGATAAATGATGAATTGCAGATCTGTTTCACACTTTTAAAAACTTTTTAATCACTTTATTTTAATCTGCAGTGTTCTGACTGAAAGAAAACAAACCTTGAAGTTATGTATTTGTATTTATAAATTGCTTTCAAAGATGGTCTCTGCTCTTGTTTTAACATGTTTATCATTTAAATGTGAAAAACAAATCTAAAAAAAAGTCTGTCACTTCTCAACTATAAAAAAGGAGTTTTTGAGTGCATAGAATTTAGTGATAGATTTAGCATTTTTTGCATTTTTGAGTGACACTTAACATGAATTGCGGGAAATACTTGTGTGAAAACAGGCCTTCATTAGCCAGTATCACTTACTGCATGATATGCTGTATTTGGCATTTTAAACTGTCTTTTTAAGGCCATTAGTAACCACAGAGGTTTAACTGTCCGCAGACCAGTGGAAAGCACATTATTCATTTAACTGAATTTTTGATAAATCACTTCCTTTATTATTTTATTTTTTATTTTTTATTTTTTTTTGACAAAAAGACTTTTGCATTTTTTATTCTTTCCAAACAGCTTGGGCCAGAGCTTGACCACAGAATTAAAAAAAGAAGTATTTTAGTCACAAACAACTGCTAGTATGTCATTGTGGCATTGAAACTGGATTTTCCCAAGGCTGAGCAAAAGTAATAATAAATATTTTAGTGTAACAAATAAGTTTAATCTGCTCTACTAACCACTAAAGCCACTGATGTAGAACAAATAGTTTCACCAGGAACCAATACAACACACTAACCTGTTCTGAGAATAATGTAGGGCTTGGTGACACATTATCTCCCTTTTAGCTTTCGGCTTAAGAGCACTATCCTGCTTTTAAACCTCCAATCATCATTTAACAAAGCACAATGTAGTCAAACTAACATCTGAATGCTCTTAACTTTGATTTAATAAATCTTACTGCGGTGTAGTTAGGTTATGGTGTGCACATAGCATATGACAGACCAGGACAGACAAGCAAGTTTTCTCTGAGGTAAATTCACAAACGAGTGATTTTTCTGGGAGATTAATTTGATTTAATTGGTCCTCTCTTAATTAGGACACCCTCCCGGTACTTCACACTTGGATACACAGTCAGACGTTATTCTGTCTGAACACACTCACAAGATTGAAAAATACAAGCAATTTTAAGCACTTATTAGGTTTTTAAAATATTAACAAACCATTTCCCAAATTTTAAGAAGGCCATATTTCATACATCAACCTTCACAAATATGATTAAAGAGTTCAAGCTGCTAGTTATAACAAAATCTAGTTCAATGACGAGATACAGCAATATACTATTTGACTGATGACCTTGTAGAAAGTAATAATAAATATTTTAGTGTAACAAATAAGTTTAATCTGCTCTACTAACCACTAACGCCACTGATGTAGAACAAATAGTTTCACCAGGAACCAATACAACACACTAACCTGTTCTGAGAATAATGTAGGGCTTGGTGACACATTATCTCCCTTTTGGCTTTCGGCTTAAGAGCACTATCCTGCTTTTAAACCTCCAATCATCATTTAACAAAGCACAATGTAGTCAAACTAACATCTGAATGCTCTTAACTTTGATTTAATAAATCTTACTGCGGTGTAGTTAGGTTATGGTGTGCACATAGCATATGACAGACCAGGACAGACAAGTTTTCTCTGAGGTAAATTCACAAACGAGTGATTTTTCTGGGAGATTAATTTGATTTAATTGGTCCTCTCTTAATTAGGACACCCTCCCGGTACTTCACACTTGGATACACAGTCAGACGTTATTCTGTCTGAACACACTCACAAGATTGAAAAATACAAGCAATTTTAAGCACTTATTAGGTTTTTAAAATATTAACAAACCATTTCCCAAATTTTAAGAAGGCCATATTTCATACATCAACCTTCACAAATATGATTAAAGAGTTCAAGCTGCTAGTTATAACAAAATCTAGTTCAATGACGAGATACAGCAATATACTATTTGACTGATGACCTTGTAATTTTCAAAGGTAGAGAGAAAGATATATGTTTTGGAAAAACACCAACCAATGAGTAAGAGGATTAGGGCTTAGCAATAATAATAAAATAAATAAATCTCGAGATTAAAGTCATAATGCAAGATTAAACTCACAGTTTTAAGAAAAAAAGTTGATATAAAATGTTGAGAATAAACTCAACATATTCTCAACATTTTATTTAGACTTTCTTACTCGAAATTTAACCGTTTTTTTTTTCTCGCATTGACATTTTTCAAGATGGTTTTTATTTTTTTATTATTGCTTGGCCCAATCTTCCATGAGGATTAATGAGGGCCAAAAAGGAATAGAATGAATTTTTGTAAGAGTTCCCGGACATTCTGGTCATGATTTAAAAAATGTAAATAAATAAATATTATTTATATATTATAAATATATATACATATTTATAATTATTATGCTCACAAAGAGCAATTCAAGCAAATTGAATACCTACTAGAGTCAAGCATAAAAAGTAAATAACATGTAGAAATATTTACTTTAAAACTTTCTATGATTCTGTTCCTCAATTTTAAAAAATAAATAAATAAAATAATTATGCTCAAAAGAGCAATTTCTAGCCAAGTAACTTATCAAAAATAATTATAAAATATATATATAAATCATATGATATATAAAAAAAATCCCTGATTTTGTACCATTAGTTTTTAATAAATAATTATGCCAACAAAGAACAATTTCTAGCCAATAAAATGCCTGTTAGACTAGAGTCAAGCATAAAAATAAATAGAATGCAGAAATATTTACTTTAGAAGTTTCCATGAATTAGCTCCATGACTATTTTAAGTGAATGAATAAAAATATGCTCACATAGCGATTTCTAGCCTATTAAATCAAGCATAAGAGTTAACCATACCAATAAATAGTATAGAAATATTCACTATAACTCCCCCCACCCCAGACTTTAGAAGTTGAATCATTTCCATAACTTTTTCAGGCCTGTAACTAATATTTTCAATTTTCCATGTGCTGTTTTTATTCCAGCGCAATCTGTTGGTGATGAGAAAACTACAGGAAATGAGACCATTTCAAAGGCATGAGTAAGTACAAGTCATACGCAGAGGCGGACAAAGTACTCAACTCCATTACTTGAGTGAAAGTACAGATACTGCTGGTCAGACATTACTCCATTACAAGTAAAAGTTATAAAGACCGATTTTTACTTAAGTAAAAGTACACAAGTACTTGCTTTTAAAAGTACTTAAGTACCAAAAGTAAATTTCCTTTTTTATGTCAATGCATTGTTTTATTGTTGTACGTAGTAGTACTTGCAATACTTCTGAAGCAACTTAGAATACATTACACCTACTGAATACACTGACTAGCTTGTAGTATATTTGGAATAAAGAGCTTTTAGAATGTTAAAAACCTATGGGGAAAACAACAAAACACAAAAAATGTATTGAACACCCCTACCCACCCCCACAAAAGCAGGATGGTAGTGATCTCACACAGCTCTAGACACATCTATGTGTAGCCATTCATCCACATTTGAACAGAGTGGACAGTGAAATCCTGTAAATACAGAGTGATAAGGATCGAACCTGCTTTAAAACCCAGCAACCAACAACTGTAGCAGTATAACTTTACAACAGCAACACCGCTTTAACAAAAAAGCAAAACAGCAAGACTTATTTGACATCAAAAAACATTTTAAATGCTGTCTAATCGCTCTCGCGGTACTTTTATATGCATATATTTGTGTATGTGCAGTATATAGTTAATTTGAATATATATATATATATATATATATATATAATTATTTTATACTAGTTTAATACATTTTAAACCATTTTTAATCATAATATAATATATTTTTAATCTGCTTTTTTATGTAGGTTTATATCTGATTAACTACTATTACAAACTCTAAATTTTGCAGATCTACAGAATACTGTAAAAACAAAAATCCACTTAATACATACTAATGTAAACTTCTATGACACTTACCTGTCAGTCACTGTCATGTGCATAACTGACCATCATGGTATTCAGAAATGAACAAAAAAAATAATTCAAGAGCAAATACATTTATTATACTTCCTCCAGAGCAATATATTCTCGTCTAGATGAAGTTCGCAGGGACTCTGTTTTGATTTCACAAGTTCTCCACACACATTAGGCCCGTGTAGGCACACAATTGGTTCGGTCGGTTAATCTGCCCAAAGATTAAGACTAAACAAAATCTGCAACAGCCAACCACTGGCGAGACATTGTTGCGTAAATCACTTCAATCTGGCCCCCACAAGCCTCCCCAGTATGAGTGAATGAGGCTCGGATGAGATTATTTCAACCAGCACTAGAACGAGCTCAGCTGTGCCAACCGACTCGTGACGTTCCCAGCTGTGGAAGTGGACACTGTCTACAGGTTACAGTCGGATTAGATCCGGCTATCTGTTCTCAGAACAGTCCATTTAAAGAAGTGTCGCTGTAGGTAATGTTGCACCATATGATCATAACAGTGAGCCACTGAATGTTAAACTGAATCTCAAAGTGGTTTGTGTTTCGGTTTGCAAATGTGAAGTGATCTAATGCAATCCTGCTTCAGAAACTTCATGAATGAGGGGTTTAGGGTTTGATGATTTGGTATCATTTGGTTTGGACCCTCATTCACTTTGTCTGTGGGAAAGGTCACTGGGGAAAACACTGAGCTAGATAAGGCTTAGGCAAATGCAGTGTGATGGAGGAACACGACGATTGGAGATGCAAACGCAGAACTTCGTATGAAGGTAGCTGGTTACTTTTCATTTAAAAGACAATCTATACATGGGTTTGTGCAAAAATGTTATGGTAATGCACGTTTTCCTTTGTATGAACATTAAATGCACCCAATTCCCGGCGAAACTGCTCTATCTAGTGGTGAGAGCAATAAAATGTTGTGTGACTGTTTCCAGTGTTTACATGAAATGTTTGTAAAGAAGACAAAGTACAGTAAGAGAAAATGACTTCCATGTAAAATTCTATTTTATACATACAGAAGAATAATGAATAACTTGAAGGAAAATTATGAAATCGTATTATATATAGTGTAAATATATATTATACTGTATCCTGTAATTCAAATGCTAGTCATGCAAATATGGTCATTTTTAAAGAAAATAGAAAAGCCATACTTTTAATGACTCCCATGTAAAATTGTATTTGTCATATATGTACATATAAATATATGTACAGGAAAAAAGTTACATTATGTGGAATAAAACAATTAATTTATTAAGAAAAAATTGTGAAATGTTTTTTAATGTATAATTTAAGTATAATGTAATATAATTTAAATAATATATGATTGTATATATACGCGCGCGCGCGCGTGTGTGTGTGTGTGTGTGTGTGTGTGTAATTGTAATACTAAAGGAAAAGGTAAAGGAAAAAAATAATGTATCATAAAATGTATAATATATTATAAATGAATATATATACAGAAAAAGGTCGTGAAATGTATTGAAAAAGAAAAATACATTTAAATGAATATAAGAAAAATTATATAAAAATAATAAGAAAAAAATATTGTATAATATTTTACAAAACATTATTTATATATATATATATATATATATGAAATTGTATATTCTAAACAATTTATACATAATTTTAAATATACTATATTTTATTGTTAGGCTATATATAATCTCCTTTCTCATTATATTAATATCATTATAATATCATATGATCAATGTAACAATATTTTATAATATACTGTATATTACGCTGTACCTTTTTTTAAAACTGTATTTACTTTGGAAACACTCTGACATAAGAAAAAGCACCTAAAATAAGAATGAAGATTAATTTCACTGAACTGTTTTGATCCCTACATGTTAAATATATTCATTATTTGTCCTAAAAACGCTCTGAACTATGATAGCTCATCTAAACAAACTGTGTAAACTTAATAAGAGTCGAGTTGATCATCTGATAGGTGCATGAGGCATCAGCTGATCTGAGCTGAGAGGAGGAGGATGCTGCTGCTGCTGCTGCTCTCGCTCTGCTAGTCGCACACACTTCAGACGTCAACACACCGAAAGAGGGTAGATTTACTCATTTAATCCATTGAATATGGCATCGATGTAGTGCTCCAACATGTTTTGAGCTGTTTTGGATGTCTCTGGATGCTTATTTCGTCGGGTTGTCGTCGATTTTAGCACAACGGCGCCGCGAGCGCAAAGCTAACTCTGAAACTGATAGGCGGAGAAGTTCAACAGCTAAACTGTATTTACTGTAAAAAACAACAACAATATCTGCATGTACATGCGCTCAGTTTAATTTTCTGTACATAAAAATGGTATTGATAGGCTTAAAGTGAATTGTTTTTATATGTTTAGGTAGTGAGTTTATTGGAGAATGGCGTTTGTGAAGAGCGGATGGCTGCACAGACAAAGTGAGTGTTTATTACTCCGTATTTATGACCTTAAAACCCTTCGTTTGAGTTATTTTGGGGCTTTTAGATGTCGATTTAAAGCATTTTATGACGATTTTCTAATTCATATGAAAGTTTAAATAGCACTTTTATCATTTAAAGCCTCTGAAATATACATCAAGTATGCGTAATGTTTAGCTTGGAGGTTGAATTGCAAAGCTTTTCGGTTTCTTTCATTACAGCAGACCGTGTCCTTTCATCTACTTGTTAAGTTATCTTGTCATGATTTTTTAAACGGAAGTTGAAATTCAGCTGAACTTTGTGTCTCAAAACCTAATGAGCTGACTATCTGGCTGTATAGTGTTTGTCTTGTAAGTCTTAAGTGTTTAAAGCTCTTTTTAGAGAACTTGTTTAAACTATAGAGGTCAGATGACTGTACATTTACAAGCAATTGTATTTAATTGTTTTTAGAATTTAATTCATTTATAGTACATTTGTAATATGAAGAATATCAATTAAGTTGATACATTTTATAATGCAATTATTTTATAATATAATTTGTATTGTTTTAATTATAAAAAAGTAATTAAAACATGGCTGATATTAAACTTTGTCTAAATAAATTATTATTAAAATAATTATATATTATAAATTTCTTATATATATATATATATATTATACAACTTGTGCTTAAATTATTTTAGAATGTAATTTAAAAAAAGAATTTAATAAAAATGTATAATTAGAAGAAGTAATTCTAAAATCTAATCTTGTCGTCTATCAGGCACCATCTTGCGGCGCTGGAAGAGGAACTGGTTTGACCTCTGGTCAGATGGGCGTCTGGTCTTCTACGATGACCAGCAGCGGCGGGACATGGAAGACGAGATCCACATGAAGGTGGACTGCATTAACATCCGCAACGCCAGCGCGTGTAGAGGTGGGAGGGATGCGCACTTTAGTCTTCATCCGCTGTCTTTCCTTCTGCTTTTGAAATGCGGAAGATGCAAAAACTTCAAAAGTGCCTTTTGATGTAGTGCTTGACAGGTTTTTCTAAGTCGTTGGACAAAAACAGGATGAAAAAGTGAATAGTAAGTAACTTGAAAGTCTCCATGTGTTGTTGTTCTTCATCCTCCATTATTTATTTCCAGATCTCATGCCACCTGAAGGCAAGAGCAAAGACTCCCTCCTGCAGATCGTCTGCCGGGACGGTCGGGTCATCAGCATCTGCGCAGACAGTGCAGACGATGCTTTGTGAGTCAAATTTGTTATTAATATTCACAATGTGTGCTTCAAAATGAGATTTTTTGATACTAACTCGATGTATTTTCGCATAGGGCTTGGACCATGGCCCTCCAGGATGCTAGACTCAACACTGTGAGTTACACAAATGCAATTTGAGTGGGAAAGCACATTCACATTTAAACTTTCCAGTAGCGCAGCTTCTGGAACTGATTTCAGAAGCGTTACAGAGGCGTTTGCTGACATGAGTTGGTCTGTTTTGTAGATTGTGCAGCATCCTCAGGTTGGTTTTGCCGAGGACATCGTAGCATCAGCTCCTCCACCCTATTCTGAGTTAAACCCAACTCCACAGGTAATATATTTAGAGGAAAATGACTGTATCAAATGTTGATTACTACAGAAAATAATTTTTTTTACTTGGATATCCAGCTTATGTCGTTGCTTGTGTTTTAAAGCTCCTTTTAGATGTTGACTTTGTCATTTCTGTTTGATCATAAACTTGTTTGACTAGGAAGAACAATTGAGGTTGGATTACATTAACAAGCAATGCTTGAAAGTATATAGGGTCCTATAAAAAGGATGTTATCAAAATCCCAATAAAACACTGCTTGAAATAAAGGTTTCAGTTTTAACTAGCTGACGAAAACAGGACACTAATGTAGATTGTTTCCCGATGTTATGTTATGGTTAATATTATAATTCTGTACTATTTCATCTAAATTAATTATAATTGATTATTTTTTTAATTTGTAATTTAATAAATGTGATATATGTTTTAAGTTATAATAAAACAAATTTATGATACATTTAAGTATGAAAGTGCATTTTTAATAATATTTCAATGAAATGTTAAAATACATTTTATGTATAAATATTTATTCACATACATACATATATGCATACACACACACATATATATATATATATATATATATATATAATTTACAAGTAGAATAGAAGAAATGAGCATGCACAATTAAAATTTTCAATATTCTGAATAATGTAATAAAAAACATTTATTAACTTTTATAATTATTAAACATAGTATAAAATGTAACTACATATAAGGAAAAACTCAAGCAAATATACAATAAATAAAGAAAAAAGAAAAATAATTGTTAATGAAAAATAATGATATAATAGTAAATAATAATTTATAAAAATTTATAATTATTAAAATAAAGTAAAAATACATTTAAACAAATAAAAACAAATAATTGAAATGTAAAAATAGGGGATAAAAAAAATTTATTAACTTTTATAATTATTAAACATAGTATAAAATGTAACTACATATAAGGAAAAACTCAAGCAAATATACAATAAATAAAGAAAAAAGAAAAATAATTGTTAATGAAAAATAATGATATAATAGTAAATAATAATTTATAAAAATTTATAATTATTAAAATAAAGTAAAAATACATTTAAACAAATAAAAACAAATAATTGAAATGTAAAAATAGGGGAAATGAGCATCCATCAATATAAATACTTAAATAAAAAAATATTAGTTTATGAAATAATTTTTGACATAAATTATAATACAATAATTTAAATCATAATACAAATAATTTAATTGAATTTAATTTAAAAAAAAAAAAAGTCAAAATGAGTGTATATAAATTATATTTTATAAAAATGAAAAAAATAGAAATATTCTATATTTAAATGTAATGAGCATCCAGAAAATTTTTCAAATCAATATACAGTATTTATATCTTTAAAAATTAAAACCGGATAAATCATGTACCCCTAATTTCTTTCTAATTTTCATCTAGGTTTTCTGTCCTGATGGATATGGCGGTTATGTTCCTCATCCTCCGCCTTATGCCACACAGATGGTCTACTCAGCAGATGGGCAGCAGTATGCAGTTGCCTACCCGTATCTTTATCAAGGTAACAGGAAGTTGCTTGACGTTTGACTTTTATGTAGTTTGATTGACATTTGTTATTTGTCTCCATTAGGCGGATACGCACCCGGCGTCAACCACGTCATAGTGCAGGAGCGTCGCCGTGACGACACAGGTGACGTTGCTCTGGGGATGTTGGCTGGTGCTGCGACGGGATTGGCCCTCGGCTCCCTGTTTTCAGTATTCTAATGTGTTTTTATGAACCCAGCCCAACCCCACCTGACCTACAGTGCAGGAAACCCTTCCCGTGTTGTTTTAACTTTCCCTTTACGCCTCGTAATGCGCAGGTCTGATAATGTAGCCGGGCTGGGCAAATATCTGTTTACTTTTCTGTAATTGTCTTTGTACCAAAGTTTATGTAATTTGGATTAGGCACCAACAAATGCGTTTGCTTTGCAAATTTAATCTGTAGCATACAAAGCTATACACTAAAATATTGGCGGCTAGTCTTAAGATAAGGATAATCAGTGAGGTTAGAAATGAAATGGTTTTAAATGCCATTTGCAGCTGCAAAGCCAAAATTGTGCTGAATTAAATATGTTTGTGACGGTCTCGTTTAAAAGGAATAGCTCACTCAAAAATGAAAATTCAGTCATAATCTTATTCTCATAAAATTTCTTTAAAAAATATCAGTAAAAATCTATACAATTTTTTTTTCAAGATACTATTTTCCATACAATAAAAATGGATTTACATCCAGGACATCTTTAATTAAATTTTTTTTTGTATAGTATAGTATAATTTGGCAAGAAAACTCATAATAATACAGATTAATACTGTGACTGCAATTGCGATTTTATTCAGGAATGCATCCTTGCATTGAGCACTCTTTTTTCAGATTCTTTTCCCTTTCTTTGCCTTTTGTTTTTGTTTAAAATGAATAGTTCATTTGAAAATGATTTTTTTAAATGTTGTTTTCATTTCTTTAACAAAGGATTGCTGATAATCTATACTTTTTTGACAAAAAATATCTATATAAAATATGAATTTTTAATTGAATGGCAATCAGCAGCATGAACATTTTGTTAAATGTCTTTAAAAATCGTGTGATTTCAAGAAATTTAAGGGTGAGTAAATTATGACAGGATTGTCATTTTTGTGTGAAATATTCAGTTAAATCTAAATTGACGGGGAAACTCGTAATAATCTATGATTAATACTCTGAGGGTGAGAGAGATGTTGTTCAGGAAAGAGTAAAGAGAGTTCTTAATCTCCTGCACCTTTTTCAATAGTTTTTCCTTTCTTTGCCTCTGTATTTTGTGGCGGCCTTCATTTAACTCCTTTTATTGTGTTTATTTATACTCGGCGTTATCAAGTGTGTATTCTTCCCTTTTGTGTGGAGACTTTACACTTTCTTTGAGATTTATTTACGGTACTTTGAAAAATGTGATTGGTTTTGTGTGTGTGTGTGTGTGTGTGTTTTTTTTTCTCTTGAGAAAACATTTGAAATGAACTAGCATAATTATTATTCACAATGTTTGTGATGGGAAGCGATAAGGGAAACTTCAGGGAAAAGTTGGATCGATGTGATCGGTTGGATTTACTGTCACATTCACACAATTTATTCTTTACTGTACTTTGACTTTGTTGCGTTTACATAACATGTATAATCATGAGTATATAAGAGATATTAATCATAATTGTTTCATGTATCAGTGGATTTCAGGCCATGGTTGAGTTTAACTCTTGTTTTTAAACGTTTGTGACTGTTTAATGGAGCAGTGATTCAGAAAAATGACATTTTTCATCTGACATCATTATACTTGATGCTTAAATGCTTATATCTAATGCGTTTTTCTTTATTGCTTTGCTGGTTGAACCTCAAAAAAATAATTGACTTGTTAATATATACCCACATAATCATGGATGTGTTATTTCTAAACTATTAAAATAAGATGTCCCGTGATTCTTTGGGTCAGTTCACTCATTAAGTTTCAGTTTGCAATCGTTTATAAGAAACACTGCAACAGAAAATGTAGTGTTTGTATATACCAGTGGATACGGTTTTGTAAGTGTAAGTTGAAAAATGTCACCGTGCATTCATGTTGTTTTTCTGCTTGCGATTTCTTTAAGTACCTTGTGTGTGTATTGGATGAAAGCAAAAACGGAACAAGACATGAAAACCACAAAGAGGAGGTAGTTTATACACTTTATTTACAGACTAAAGTAGAAAAAGAGTAGAAAAATGATAAACACTTTAGAGGCGACAAAGAAAGAGGTCTGCATACCCAAAACACGTATTCACATACTTGTAGACACTTTTTCACAGCTCACTGGTTGTCTTTTTACTGGTTGTGATTTTAAGTCTTATTTGGCAATGAGGAACAAAAGTAACAGGCCATTAAGGCACAAGTAACCAACATAAATACAAAGACTTTTTTTTAATCTCTCAAAAGTCTAAGTCAAAATATCATGACCCATTTGCAACAAACCTTTTCAAATTAAGAGGATTTTTAGGAATAATTAATATCTTTCAAATGGCTGTTAGTGCTGATTGGTTATGTTCAGGATAATATTAAGGCTCACAAAAATGTTACACCCCCCAGAAAATCTCAGGATCAAAGACTGGCCAAAGATTTTGAAAATAAATCAAAAATATGGAGAAGGAGCTTTTGTAAACATGATGGGAAAATATAAATAAATTCCACATGAATCCTGCAAAAATTCATCCCTCTTGACCAAAGTCCTCAGTGAACTTCTTAAGCTTCTCCAGATCCTCCTCGTTCACGGTGGGCTTGGTTTTCTCAAGTGACTTTAACATGTCCTCCTGAGACACACAGACAAGAAGGTCAAAACAAGCTCTGGGACTTCAGCTTTTTTCCCCCACTAGCTGCAAACTTACCAAGCTGACTATGGGCTCCAGGAGTTTATCGCTCGCTACATCCACCCAGGTCATCTGGATCGCGCTTGGGTCGTTTGGAGAGCAGGGGGTTAAGAGGTCATCAACCACAACATCTGGGCTGTTCCATGCCTTTCCCCTGACCTGTTAAAACAGACATGAGAGCATGGATTCGGATCGATTAGATGCTTCACTAGGCATACGAATGTATGGAAGCTGGTTTCCGCCATGCAAAAAAAAAAAAGTAATTGAGACTTTTCAATCTCACAATTCAGACTTTTTTTAAAATAAATTCAGAATTACAAGATATAGGCTCACAATTCTGAGAAGAAAAGTCGGAATTATGATATAAATGATACGATATAAAGTTGCAAATATTTATTTTTATTTAATGGCAATAAAAAGAACAATATGGTAGCTTGTTTTTCCACCATGGGATAAAAATGTAATAAATAAATAAAACCTTTTTTTTCTCACAATTCAGACTTTCTTTCACAGAAGTCAGAATTGCAAGATGTAAACGTTTTTCTCGCACTCAATCTCTGAATTTATATCTCACAATTCTTTTTTTTGTTTTTGATAATTTCAGAATTGCAAGTTATGAAGTCTGATTTGTGACAAAAACTCACATTCCTTTTAATTTGTAATTTAATCTAAAAAAAATCTGAATTATGAGATTAAAAACTCACAAATATTATTATTATTATTTTTTTTTATTCTGTGGCGTAGAAAACAGATTTTGGAAGCGATGAAAAAAGGCCATTGTGAAGGTAATTAAAAGGAAATTTTATCTCACAATTTATAGACTTTTTTTCTCAGAATCACGATATATAAACTCAGAATTGTGAGATGTAAGAATTCAGAGAAACAAATGACAGAATTTCAAGATATAAACTTGTTCTCACAATTCTGCATTTATATCTCATAAATCATGCTTTTAGTCTCACAATTCTGTGAGACAAACTCAGAAATGCCTGATAAAAAGTCAAAGAGACAAAGTCATAATTAGCTTTTTTTTAAACTAACTTCTATATAAATGTCATTCCGTACCTTTTTGAAGTGGGTCGCGCACTGAACTTTGCGGATGGGCTGCATGAGGGCGTCACGAACGACGATGCTGATGTCGGCACCTGAGTAGCCGTCGGTCTTCTTCCCGAGAGTTATGAAATCAGCTTCATCGAGGCTATTGGGAGTGGAGCCGAGGTGCAGCTTGAACATGGAGCAGCGAGCGTGCTGCTCAGGAAGAGGGATGTAGATGCGCTTTTCAAACCTACAACCATGAGACAATAATAAACCAATGCCTATAAAGACATGTAAAGCCATGAGAATTTGTATGACGCACCTTCTCCTGATGGCAGAATCCAGCGTCCACGGGATGTTTGTCGCCCCAAGGACCAGAATTCCTTCGTTGTCATTTCCTACGCCTGCGAGAATGAGAGAATTAAGTTTAGAATCAATAAATAATGGAAACTATTACGAAGACAAAAACAGCAAAGAAAACAACTGCTAACAAGAATATTAAATAAAAATGAAGGACTTCAGTATAATATTATTTTATAACATTATGAAATTATTATATTACATATTACCTAAATGTATGTTGACACTATTAAAAGTAATAAAAAATCATTTCTAAAGAAATAATTTAAATATTATGTGGAAAATATTAATTCACAACAATTGTATAGCATATAGAATGGGAAAATTAAGGTTATAATCAATATTTTAAATAATGCATGAACACAAAATGCTATGAACACACACAAAAAAAACATTTTTTTAACAAAAATATAACTAAAAAGATTGACTTCAATGTGATAAAATATTATATTATAACATTATATATATATATCACTATATACAGGTGCATCTCAATAAATTAGAATGTCATGGAAAAGTTCATTTATTTCAGTAATTCAACTCAAATTGTGAAACTCGTGTATTAAATAAATTCAATGCACACAGACTGAAGTAGTTTAAGTCTTTGGTTCTTTTAATTGTGATGATTTTGGCTCACATTTAACAAAAACCCACCAATTCACTATCTCAACAAATTAAAATACTTCATAAGACCAATAAAAAACATTTTTAGTGAATTGTTGGCCTTCTGGAAAGTATGTTCATTTACTGTACATGTACTCAATACTTGGTAGGGGCTCCTTTTGCTTTAATTACTGCCTCAATTCGGCGTGGCATGGAGGTGATCAGTTTGTGGCACTGCTGAGGTGGTATGGAAGCCCAGGTTTCTTTGACAGTGGCCTTCAGCTCATCTGCATTTCTTGGTCTCTT